TACGTTGCTCGATAATTTTAAGTCACGCTCGTCGCGTCGTCACAATACGAAAGAAGGAAATAAGCCGATTGCTCCGGATTGTTCCGCCATATAATCCGTCTTATAAGCGGGAAAGTACACAACCAGTTGGCGATACCCAAAAAGCGACATAATCCGCGATGCCATTGCGTTCTTGCGGTAGTCGCGTTCGCAAAAATCTCGAAATAAAATCTAGAGTAAATTCTTGTTCGTGGAGTCACGCAGATACGAGAACTTTGGCCCGCGATAACTTTGTTTTCTCTATATTGTCGATAGATATTGCTTCTACGTGGAATGATAGGGTCATTCGATTTCGCGACAATTGCGAAAACCGAGACTTGTTATTGATCAAACTGAAAGCAACGACAAATCCGTATGGAATAGATGTTATATCCAGTTATTAATCTGTTTATATGCATCATGGAAGACACTCGTAAAGCTCTCTTACTGATTGTGAGAAGCACAAGAATATGGTATTTTATAGGCTTGATTGAAATGTCAAGATGAGAACATTATGTTCTACCAGCAGGAAGCACGAATTATAACGAAGTGAAATTTTTTTACCAATAAAAAATTAGTAATAATTTTCTTTAAATCTTCTACATCTGTGAAAATTAATAGCTCGGTATAAATAAATTGCGTTCACTAAATTGGCGGATTTAAGAAACTGAAAAATAAACTCAGACAAGAAAATGTAGTTCATGCAAAACGTGCAAATATTCTCAAGCTGCATGCTAAATTCTCGTCAAGCTCGCGATACATATCATAAATGATACTTCGCACAACGTGGAGGTAAGAAAGGCTCTTATCAACGGGAGGCAGCATCCGGCGGTAAGTGGCAAGTCACGCATTCAGATGACACAGTCCATCTTCGGATAGACGTGGACCGACGTGGTCAGGAGAGAACGACTGTGTAATGTGGAAAACCACTCACAGAGTGGCGTATTAGAGGGTTGGTATGAGAGTACAAAGGTACGTACGCTGCTCTCCCCCGGGCGCGCCTTATCTCCGTGAACTGCAGCCCGATGGGGGATGCGGATAAGTCGCGTACATGGTGAGAATGGCGCGAATGAAATAAATAAGAGTCAGTGAGAAAAAGCTACGGAGGATGGCCTAGGAGGGCGGAAAGAAAAGGGAGTGTGAGAAAGCGATATCCCCGGTAGTGGATGAGGAGAGAACGCAGCGCGGTAAATGCGAGACGCAAGATGAAATGGAATTTCTGTCAGTTGGGTTAGATAAACAGCCGCAATTTCGTTCGTACGACAGAAGCCAACCCAAACGACGACGACTACGACTAAGACGAGAGACGCACGTTTTTCCACTCCTTCGTGCACGAATCATTTTTTTTCCTTCCTCACCGTTATTTTCGGAGCTTGCCTTTCCTTGTTTCCTTGTTTCGCTCAGAACACGACTTCTCTAGCACGAACCTTTGCGCTTTATCTCACGTTATATTGTTCCTTTTATTACGATCGACTCGACCGATTCTCCCTTTCATCTTCCTTATTTCCTCTTCCTATTTCGTCTTCGTGTCGTTGATCCTGTATCGCCACTGAAAAAACAGTCGTAGCTACCGCACGTAACGTTTTGTAACTGCAGAGCATGCATTTACCTTTCTCTGAATATCGCGCAACCATTTGATATTTTCTTCTCATCTTCTTCAATTTCTTCTGTTCGTTTCTGTTTCTCTTATGTCTGTAGATCTCTTTCGTATCTTTTTTTCTTCGTATAGAAACTACTATTTATTCGATAGAACGTTTGCAATTGATTTTTGCTCTGCTTGAATGCTTAAAATTTTCATTAGTTTTTAGCTCAAATCATATGTGCCTCGTAATTATCAGATTTTAAGTTAAATGAAATTAATCATAAGCTTCGATGTCAACATAAATGCAAAAGGTATGATAATAATTCTGATGGAAATTAATTTAAAATGAGAAAAATACATAGGAACAACAATTTTTGCTAAAGTATCTAAAAATTTAGCTATATATAAATTTTAAAATAATTTTGTGTAATCTATCAAAGTAATTATGTAGGACGCTCAAGCTACAATAGTTGCTAAAATAACAAAATTTTTTAGCATTATGCTTGAGTTTCACATAATTATTTTTATGGTTTATCTCAAAATTATTTTTAGATTTGCAGGTATCTAGCTAAATTTTAAATTTTTTAATATTTCAGCAAAATGATTCTTTTCATGTAAAAAATATTCAATATACGTATTTTATGATGCATTAAATATTTCATAGGGACGACAAATTAAGAGCGTGGAATAATAAACGAATCACTGGATAAATGATTCAAGTAATGAAAAGCCATCTGTAATAAAAATTGACTGTTTTTATTAATAATATTTCATGTAATATTCGCGTCACACGATTAATGTCAAAAGTGCTGTGCAATCGTCATATTCTGACTGACGATTATATATGTATATATGTGACTGTTATTTGACAATTCTATGTATGTGATTTGTATTAAAATGAAAAGAAACGCCTTCATTTATTAAAATTCCATTATAAAAGTAATAATAAAAGTAATAATAAAGTAATAATAAATGATAAAGTGATAATAAAATTAAATGTTGTAAATATTTTTTCAATTCTGGCCAAATTTTACTCTTTAATCATTTAGATCTGATATATGACGGAAGCCCGTCAGAATTGAAAAAATATTACAACATTTAATTTTATTATCATTTTATCATTTATGTTAAACACTTTTGCAACTGAAAATAAATGAAATAATAGAATTTTAATAAATGAAGATGTTTCGATCAAATTAATTTGAAATATGAGGTACAAGAGAATATTTGGCGTACGTGAATTTATATTTATTAAAATATCGTTCAGCTTATATAAAATGTTAAATATTTTGTAAGATAAAAGTATCAGATTGCTCCTCATCTGGATGAAGTGAGCTACAGGCTTTACATTCGTTGACATTCTAAGAATGGATTTAGACACAGAGATAACTCGTGAGATTTATATCAATAATTTGAAATAAGAAGGATATATTCAGCATACAATATTGAATGTTTCGAAAATGTAACGCTTCATAACATTAAATGAATAAGAATTATTGCTTCTTGATTTTCACATACAATATCTTATTCAATTACTTTTGTAAATTTGAATCTAACGTGCTTGGAATTTATCAGATTAAATATAATTTCGTTATTTTTCGAATTGAGAGCAATGTGATATACAAAGAATCAAATCGCGAATAATCTTACAATAACGCCATACTTATCGTTTATATTAATAATTTAAAACGTAAGGGGATATATACACTTGAATTTAATAAGATATTGAAAAATTACTTCGGTTGGCAGGCGGCTCAATCTTTTATTCAATGTATTTCATGAGTATCTCAAAATACTTCTTTTAAATGATTGTCACGCCGAAACGATCGCGAATATTTAATTACACAAACTAATAATTTCTTATTTTAACAATTAAAGTATCTAGGATATAGAATTGTAATGAATTTTCAAATAAATCCATCGAATAAATATGGATATGTGCGGATTATAAATCTCGGCGAACATTAGAAAAGCTCTAGAAAATTTATTATATTTTCAATATGATTATAATTTCTTATTCATATATTGTACAATATAATTTTGCAGAAAATAATTTAGTTTTATTATAATCACAATTCTTGATTTATTAAAATTATATTAATTTTTTAATTCTTTTCAGATAAAATTATTAAAGAAATCAATAATGGATTTACTTATATTAATATACTTTTTATCAAAATGGAAATCAATTTTATTCTTCATTTACATGTTAAATTTGTATAATTCTTTTTAAATCGAGTACTTTTAATTAAGCATTCAACATTTTTTCAAAAGAATTAAAAATAATGTGCAAAATTTATTATCAATATATCGTACAAGTTATTATTATACATTTACCTATATATAATACATATCAATAAAATTGTATACATGTCAAATTATAAACGATAAGAGTTTCCATTTAAAGGCGCTTGAATAGAATTGTTATCTCGGACAATGCTGACGCGAGTCCACAAAGTAGCACACGAATGCGATAATAGTCTATTCATCGAAATAAAGAATGAAACATTCGGCGGAATATTACGCTCCTTAAATTTCGATAAATGGACACTACATATGACACATATTATTTCTGTAACACAGTGTATTATGTTATCGTTATTATGTTCGTATTATTGACGCTGCGTAATCGCGAATTTGGCGGTTGGTATCCGCCGCGCCGCGCCGTGTCATAGATTGCGCCACGTCATAGGTCACACCGCTCGGTGTTTATAAGGAAGGTCGCCGCGTTATCATTACCGTTCCGACACTCGAACTGATAGGCATGCCGCTTCGTACATACTGTTACATCGCGAAATGCGTCGCGATGAATATTACGATGATATTAACATTGGAAAGATATATCATTCCTTATTAACAATTAGATAATTCATTTACGTGACTTAGTGAATGCGTCGAAACGTTTATCATACATTGCTCAGCAAACGCCTTATGCGTTTATTCATAAAACTTTGTCAGCGAGAGGAGAAGATCGAAATAATCAAATTAATAATAATAATCTTTCGAAAGATACTTGAATTCGAACGCATTCTAATTATTCACATAATTAATGTTTGTATAATTAATAATAATTTAATTAATTTTTCGTTTTCGTATACATGATTGATACGCGAATATAAAAATCAAACGTAACTTTAAAATTGTCGACAATAATAATAAACTTGTAATAGAAGGAATATTTCTCTTTCTAATCTTTTCGTCCTATTTAATATCCTAATCATGTTTTATTATAATAAGAGATTCATCTCTTCTATCTGTTCTGAATTTGTTTCGCAGTGGTCACGAACTAATGTATGCTCGATATTTATTTTTAAAAGTGAACAAATAATTGTGTAGTATTATGTATAGATAAGAGTACTACATATTATATTTCATGATGATACCATCCCTCCCACGGGTACACCTTGACGTGGTGAGAGGGCTCAGTACCCGGAGGATATACACGAAAAGAACGGTTTTTCTCAAGTATCTAAAAATCTATCTGAATATATCTAGATATATCTAGATAAATTCTTAGATATTGAGTAAAATCGTTTTCTTCGTGTAAAAATCCAACGATGGGGAAGCTAACGTACCCTCGTCCGCCGATTTAATTGAGAGTGAACGAACCGCAGCCGGTTCGTCGCGTCGCGCGTTTGCTTCGGGAGTGCCGTTAAAATTATCGGACTAATGGACTTTTAACAAAACCCATTTGATGGAATTCTACTTCGGCGATGAAATCATATCTACGACGTTTCGACAGGAAAGCGGAACTCTCATTGAGACGTTGCTGAGGTGGTCACGGTCACTGCAACGCTCTCACACCAAGTGCCCGGGCACAAGGTGATGCTGGCCGCGTAATGTCACGCACTTCGTGGTGCGTGTTCGCGCGGTTTAGCAACTACGTGTTGCTGTCGGCTAATTGAGGACGCGCTCTGTCTGTCGGCCAACAGTTCGGCCCTTAACGATAAGAAACAATCGATCGACTCGGATTCTTCTCTGGGTCTGTATTCGATAACTCGAGTTATGCAGTCGTTATCCACATAACGATTACATAACGAGTTATAGAATTTCGCCCTGGTGGGTCGCCCAAAAAGGAGTTGTATAACTCTGGTCAGGGCGCTCATTTCTCTGTCATTATCTACTAGCCTAAATCACATTTAATCTGACTTGGTCAGAGCCTAGCTCTAGTAGTTTTTTTAAAAAAAACTAGCTTCGTGCCGAGGGCTTGGATCCCATTTCTGAATTGTCTAGATTGTTAGACAATCGGCGATGGTACCAACTTTACTCTTATTAGAGGAGCTCGTCACGTCTACCAGTCTCTTGGAATCGCTCGAGGTACAGCACCACTTGTGTCCCACTAGAACTAGCAGTTAGGGCGTATGACTGAGTCAATTTTAAACGTGATTTTGCGTAAAACAGAGGTGACGGGCTCGATACGATCGATTTCGTCTTCTTTCGTGTGGGGTTTAACCCTTGTTCGGCATTCATCGTGTGTTTCGCAAGTACTTGTCGACGTGTGGTGTTGATTCCACCGAACGAAATGACAATCTTATCATGGGTTTTGTAAACGTAAATACCGCAGTGTCGCGCGAAAGACTTTTACAAATAATTAGTCCGCGCGCGATTATAGTATATTATACGCGAGTGTTTTACGCGAGTGTCCTGTGCGAGAGGATGTCAACCCACTTCTGAGAGGAGGAGGAGGTCTAGCAGAGGCATCGGGCACCGGCGGAGCAACCTTGGAGTGAGTATCATTTCTTGTCTGTATAAAATTAATATTTCTTTCTCATGATTTTGGACCATTTTTATCTTGATAATTTAATAATTAGAGAGAGAGAGAGAGAGAGAGAGAGAGAGGAAGCATCTAAAAAATTTTAAGAAGTTTAGTCTTGTAAAGGTTTTTTTGGAAAATAGATAATTGTATTATATACTTATACTTCAATTTACGCTAAACTTTATACATGGGTTGATCTAAAAGCTAAACAGAATCTCTCTGTTTATGCAGAATTTTATCTAAACTTTCATTATTGTTATTTTTGACAACTATATGAAATAAAGATTTTTTACAACATACACCGATATATTTCTCTTACGTATTTTTTTTTGATACTAATAGACTCTCATATTTATGTGATTAATTAATTCTCAATTCTGTAACAAAAATTAGAGAAAAGAATATTCCATATAAATTAAGGGATGAGTGTATATATAGTAAATATTTAATTAAAAGGTGAATGAAAAATTTATTGCGTCTAAGAAATAAGAAATTAGTTTTTTTAATTAATCATTTTGAGCGCATCTTTAATTGAAGTTTTATTCTTAAATGTTACAGTATCATCGTTGCTAAATAACTTCGTTACGCATCTGATCGGTGAGTGAGAAAGAAGTTTTTATTTTAATATCACTACATTAAAATAATTAATTTTGAAATATCTCATATTTAACCTTTAGAGGACAAAGGTTTATATTTAAAATCTTACAGCTTTTTCTCGAATAAGATTTATTATAATTCATCAATTTTTTTTAATTATATTTTTGCTTTAAAATATGACATTGTTCCAGCACCACTTTTCCTGGAAAGGTTAAAATAATTTTGATACAAAAAATGAGCGATATATAAATTAGTATAGAATATAAAGAAACACAATATTCGTATCAATGTAAAAATATTATGTCTTATATTATTTTCATATAAAGTATATAACGCGGAAAGTAAAAATTCACGCGAACAATACGCACAATAGTGATTGTGCATACAATACATCACCATGGTCTCACGTCATTCATTGCGAATACCTCACCTGATGAATGTTTGGTGAGATTAAAATTGCAACCGTGAATACGGGTTTACAATACAGTTCGAATAAATATTAATATATACAAATTACGAATTTTTTATAAATTGATTTGGAAAAAAAATTCATTTAAAATTCTATTATTTTTGAAACGATTATAGTTCCTTTTTTATGTGTACAATTTAATTTTATGGCAAATAGTCTATACTTTTTGATTGGTAAGATTCTATAGATTCTATACAAATTTTTTCGCATATTTTCTGAATTGTTACTTGCGATATAATTAGATATATCAAGAAATTACACAGATAACTTACGTAAATATCTCACGTGAATATCTCATGCGAATATGTTACACGAAGTTACAGGAATAAATTACGCGAATGTCAATTATATTATATTTTAATGAAGGTTTGCATTTATCTTTCGCGATTTGTACGACGCATGCGGATTTTACAAACGATCGTACCGTCTCGCAATCGTCTCGTGTTAATGAACGTTGGAAACTATGCTTGTGTGTACTGGCGCTGATTATGAACCGACATAGAAAGATATATCTCCTTCTTCGATCTCTGGCTGCAGTGCAGTCAGAATAGTTATGGACAGAATGAACGGAAAGGCAACCTGATTGGTAGAAAGAAGAAATCCATGGAAGGTAGACTGAAAGTTATAAACGATTCACGTAGTAGATACATGTAAGTACATGGTCCTTCTGTATTTACGTGTAATGGCATATAATAAAAAAAAAATTAATGCGATCGGTATTAAAAATTAAATCGCGATAGGACATATTTCTTTAAATCTCGAGTGATATTCTGCTAATTCAGTCAGCTCAAATAAGATTCATTATAAGTCGTGAATTAGAAATCACACTGGTTCAGCAAGTAATTAGGTCACGCATTCTATGAACGATTTTAATTGGTGCATTTAATACGGAAAATTGCATAAGTACAAATTAATAAAAATTTAAAAGTAAAAACGCGTTAACTGGTAGACTAAAATTTTGAAATCACTAGAAATATTAGAAGCAAGATTATTAAACAAACAGAAACAGAGTCTCAAGAAATGGAGATACTAAAAAAATTAAATTTTCCCTTACTTCTAATATTTTAACAATCCTAACATTCTATTAGTTTTATGCCCATTTCCATCAACGTAGATTAACTTTAATCTCGGTTTAACTAATTCTAAAGATTAGAAAAAAAAAACAAAGAGTAAGTTAAACTGAGGTTAAAGTTAATCTACGTTGGTGGAAATGGACATAAAACTAGTAGAATGTTAGAATTGCTAAAATATTAGAAGTAAAATTTAATTTTTTAGGTAAAATTAATTTAATACTTTAAATTTATTTTAAAAAAACATTTTACATTTAAAATCTTAATTTAATAAATTTCAATTTATCTTTTAAAAATCACTTTTCAAGAGAATCACTAATTGTAAGTAGATACATTCGTAAATTATAACGTGACAATCCACTTCGTTTTGATTAAATTTGACATAAATTCGTAGACTCTACGTTAGATATTTATAAAAAAAATTAAATATTGTAGATATAATTACATAAATTATAAGCAATCATGTTTTTCTCAAATTCTTAAACGCGACTGCTTCAACAAAAAAGCTTTCCCTTCGTCAAGTAGATTAGCAAATACATGTTTCGTACTAATGGAGAAAAGAAACAATTTTCATTGTAGAGGGTTATTTCTCGTTGGATCTTGCGAAACCCATTCGCAATGTCTCGTTCGGTGTCACGTTGAAAATTGGGTTTTTGTTGCAGAGCTAGAGTGAATCTCAAGCGAGAAGTTTTCTCAGCGGTTGCTGGAAGCAATGGTTTCCGTAATAAACTATAAATGACTATCAAAAAAATCCTTTAAACTCGAGTCACGAAATTAATTTTTATATAATACATTCTATATATAAAGTTTTCTTCTTTTTGTTAGGTGTTTTTTCATTAATAACGGTACAATAGTATTTTCTGTCTTTTAGACTGCTAATACGTATGTTAATAATAAAATGTGTATGGATATAGCGATTATAGATACATAAAAATTTTCGTGATTTAAAATAAATTTGCATTGTAATTACGCATACAAATATAGTTATGAATGAATATATTTTAACAAATAACTAGTAATTATTTTTTTATTTCTAATCTAATTTTTCTATTAGATAATCACTTCTAGGCAATAGACCATCTTCTATTCTGATTAGTTTTAAGTTTGAAATTCTCAATAAAATTTAAAAAATATAATAAAATATGTGCAATTTGTAATTCGTTTTTAACAAATTTTAACAAATTTTAACTTTTGCTAAAACACAATTCCACAACTTCATTCATATTTTTTTAAATATTTTATCATGAACGATGATAGAATTATAAATATGCGGTTATTAAAAAATTCGAGACATGTCGAATAGGTATTCCGATGTCAGTGCGATAGCGAAACTTAAATTATATTTGTGTGTGTGTGTGTGTGTGTGTGTGTGTGTGTGTGTGTGTGTGTGTGTGTATGTGTATTTGTATTTTAGAGAAAAATGGAAAAGCTGATAATTGTTCATTTTACGTCGCAAAAGATTTGAATGGAAATTTTTTTTTAATCTTGTTGTTATCTTGGTTTCGATTTGTCTCGAGCAGTCTGTACGAGAGAATAATGAATATTCACATAATAAAAGCATATATTATCCTTAAATATATTCATTCATGACCACTTTTCAACGGACATTGTTCTATCCATTTATTCTTCGATGAAGACATGTTTCTGTAATAATGGATAAACATAGTTTCGCTCGCACAGATTTTTGTCTCACATAATTTCAGATAACGATGATAGAAATAATTAGATTATCACGAAAATTTGTGAATTGTATAATATTTGTATGCTAAAGTTCAAAAACGATAACTGCCGTTAAATTGCTGCAGAAATCACCATTTTCATTGATAATCTGGACGATCCAAGATTTATTGCCTCCTGCAGCGAAGTCCCTGACGTTCGACAAGTCGCTTAACTTTTCTTCGCGAATCGATCCGCAAGACTCAACTAGAAGCAGAGCATGAGCTCGCCCTCCATCATAAAGATTGTTCTTTTCTGTGTCGGATACTAACCACTCGAGGGAGGGACTTTGATCTGGCCAAGTTGTTGAGTTAGTTATCCTCCACTGAACGCGACGATAACGTGATTTATCGCGATATTTAGGATCCATCAGGCAAGAAAATGAGATGGATTATGTTTTGTGTAAGCAGTTCTGTTGATCGTTTATTCGATATCAGTATTCTATATAAAAAGAATTGTTTTCCATTAAATTATACCAACACGTAAACGAATAAAAATAAAAGAAAGATTCGCGTTACTCCGATTATAAAAATTGAAAATGGATATCGCCAAGTATATCATTGATGAAGTTTATGACGCAATTTTTTGTTAGCATTATTTTTACACCGTGATTTATTTTTTTAATCTTTAAATAAAACAATGTAAGTTAATAGATTTTGTGAGAAATTAATTAAATAAGTAATTTATTTTTCGATGATTAAATCGCTTTGAGTTTAGGCTAAGGTTATTTATCAGCAATATTTGTTCCATCATCAAAAGTATATCCTTATGCAATCTTAATGATTTATTCCTGACTTATTTTTTAGGCTACTATCTTACAGTTAATTATTCAAGTCCTTAGTTTTTTCATTCTTTTATCACTAATGTTCTTACAGCTTTACATCTCTCTTGTTCCTATCTTCCTGCCAATCGCACTTTGTCTCTCTTGTCCTCCTTATCCTTCCTTCTCTTGATTTATAGTCCTCATTGATCTTTTTCACAAACGAAATCTCGTTCTTCGCTTACGTTTTTAATGCTTACGTTTACTCTACTTTCGTTTTCTTTCTTTATTTGTCACATATGTAAACAATTCTGTTTTTTTTTATATATTATTGATATTATTGCATTTGTCACAAATTGAATAAGAGCGCTTATATATTCAAATTACTTGAAAATTATAATTTAATGTTGTAATATACGGATTATTCGAATCAAATAATTCCACACGATACATTTTTATTCAACAAATTTTCATCTGCTAACCATTCGCTTACAAAATCTATTTGCAGAATCTGCTACGGTTACTAAATGGAAACATTTGTTACGAAACACGTAAAACAATCTGTTTTGAATTCGTTTCGCGCCCTCGCATTTCGAATTCGCTTCAGTTTGTATGTTCAGAAGACCGAGATATCTTCGGATGAGCGCCTACGTGGTTTGTTTGAGAATAGCAAAATTTCATGTGGCATCACTAACGATAACTTCTATTCTATAGTAATACGACAGAATAATTGCAAGCCTTTTCGCATTTTGCCAGACTTGGTATAACTAGATTTGTCATATTCCGATACAACACAGAAGCTTGCAACATTGCTGTAACGTTTCCAATGTTTGCGTAGAGACATTGTAACATTTCTGCAATATTGCTGAAATGTTACAATGTCGCTACGATATTGTTGAAATTGTCTGTGCCGAATGGGTTTCTAACCATATTGATAACTTAGTATCTAACTATATTTCAGACAGCAAATGTACAATTTCAATAT